TCCTCACGGAGAAAAGAATCTCGCGGATATTCTGACCTACTATAATATGTGAACGAGTGTTTGACGGTGCACTTCGCGAGTTCTCACCAAAAACTTAAACCCACTATTCAAAGTGAACTTGATTCCGATGATGCCTGGTAAACTTGGCATCCGTAATTACTGAAAAACAGTTCAAATCGTCGTGTATCAGCAAAATCAATGAAAATATTTTTTCCACAAAAAGAGAGATTAGACAGTATTCATTATAAAATGTTTAAATATATGAATCTAAATATTAAAGCTTTTGTCAATACAGAAAATGTTGTGATATTTGGATCTATTGCCTAAGGAAACAGATTGCACCACGTTGTCAGTGAGTTGAAGACAGAAGTACTAATTTTGCCACAACCATGTATCAAATTCAAACCAACGACATAAACAATAACAACATTTTCAATAAAGACAATACAGAAAGGCGTTTCCTCATCCTAATAAACCGATTCCGTCATAATTAATTGAATTGTTTTTGTTCAAAATAATATGTGTCTATAAACGGAGATATTTAATTTGTATACTTGATTTGAGTTCAATATCATACTTATTGTAGTAAAAAACTATTAGAGTTCGAATGTTTGAATAAATCGGTAATTATGACCTTACTTACGATAAAATGTCAAAAAGATATCGCGATGAGCTTATAATCTGGGTCAAACAGATTTAAACAGGTCAATTATGTACCGAAATTCCAGGAGAGTGACCTATCTTCTACCTGAGCGCTTTACCTGTGATTCATCAAAAATCCATTTATGAAAGAAAAGATACTTATTAATAAAAACATTATATCACAGACATCAAATGATTATTACACATACTCACTTCCTTGTACATAGAATCAATTCATGTAGGACAGTTATCTCCCTTACATCTGTAGAACGAGACGTCGTATTTACAGACTATAGACAAAGGAGTTCCAATGTGGAGATCCTATGCGGATTAACTTACCACTTAGGTGTCGGAAATCCTGTAATATCGGGGTCACAAACACAATACCATATACTCTTGTACAATCACTATACGTCTTAATTGATAAATACAATAATTTAGATAACATATAACATAGGGACTAGCAACTGAAGTGTGAATACATTGTCCTATTTCAGATTGTCTTCTAAATTGTGATCAATTGCTATGGGTTTGAATTGAGGAAATGGAATTTATAGATCGATGAGCAGCAGAAAATAAATAATGAAACAAAATTAAAAAGGTTCAAGTGAGAATGATCTTGCATCATTCTTGCGTAGTTATGTATCACAGATAAATGGAAAAACTTCATGGAAATCACATTTTATATCTATATAGACGATTTAGAAACCGTAATTTGAGATTTCTATCAGTAAATAACAAACAGATTAATAATCCAGCCATCTAATCACTCTGCCTGTAAAATCTCAAAATATTCCCCTCCCCCTCTTACAATTAAGAGACCTCAAAATGTTAGCCCCCTCTCTTTACAATAATCTCACTCCTTTACAATGAGACCACAATAGTCTTATTCCTTTTACAATGAGACCACAATAATCTTATCACCTTTACAATGCGACCACAATAATCTTATCCCCTTTACAATGAGACCACAATAATCTTATCCCCATTACAATGAGACCACAATAATCTTATCCCCTTTACAATGAGACCACAATAATCTTATCCCTTTACAATGAGACCACAATAATCTTATCCCCTTTACAATGAGACCACAATAATCTTATCCCTTTACAATGAGACCACAATAATCTTATCCCCTTTACAATGAGACCACAATAATCTTATCCCCTTTACAATGAGACCACAATAATCTTATCCCCTTTACAATGAGACCACAATAATCTTATCCCCTTTATAATGCGACCACAATAATCTTATTCCACTTTACAATGAGACCACAATAATCTTATCACCTTTACAATGCGACCACAATAATCTTATCCCCTTTATAATGCGACCACAATAATCTTATCCCCTTTACAATGCGATCACAATAATCTTATCCCCTTTACAATGCGAGCACAATAATCTTATCCCCTTTATAATGCGATCACAATAAACTTATCCCCTTTACAATGAGACCACAATAATCTTATCCCCTTTACAATGCGACCACAATAATCTTATCCCCATTACAATGAGACCACAATAATCTTATCCCCTTTACAATGAGACCACAATAATCTTATCCCCTTTACAATGAGACCACAATAAACGTATCCCTTTACAATGAGACCACAATAATCTTATCCCCTTTACAATGGGACCTCGACAAAGCAACCATGCTACATTGTATCCTCAATGAAATTAATATCTACCAATAGAAAATTGAAGATGTATTCGTTTTGGACCCTAACTATCGATCTTATGACGAGACTTTCATCTTTATTATTCTACCTAGATAAGCAGACTATCTTAAGACCATCAATAGCTAGACCGGATTTGTACTGAAATGGGCCCTGTTAGATACAGACTAGATATAGCGACCAATTGATAAGTGCAGTTCATGTTGACTAAGAAAGATATTTTTTTTACAGCGAAATCAAAATTACTGGCATAGAAGAGGTCTTACGTTTAATATCTCACGTCAAGTTCATTGTTCTATATTCCCATTGAAATAAAATTATACATTATACAATCAAGGAATTTAGATACATCTCGATATCCAACAATTTAAAGACACCAATCAACCAAGGTATACGTAACAATGTTAAAACAATATATATCATCACCAGTTCAAGGGAAAATTTAACGGCCAATCTATATAATATATCCGTACTTATCTTAAAGAAACAAGGTCAAAGGTCAAATGGACCTAGTTTTCTAAAGAAATATCTCTCGACACAAAAAAGAAAAATATATTCACCGTAAGAAATATTTTTTGTTTGGTCAAAATCATAAAATCAAATATCCTAGAAGATAAAAAAAAAACAATAGACATGTCAAAAGGTTGGTCGCGGATAGTCTATGTTATATCATTAAAACAAGAGGCCCATGGGCCTTAACGGTCATCTGACAAAAAACAAGCCAAACCTATTTTAACATATTTGACCCCTGTGACCTTTAAAGTGGGTCAAGTTCATTCATTTGAACAAACTTGGTAGAGCTCCATGCCAGTATCCTCTGTGCCAAGTATTAGCCCCCTAGACCTTCTAGTATTTGAGAAGAAGTTGTTTGAATGAAAAGTTTACGCACGGCGGACGGCGGACGACGACGGACGAAGCACGATGGCTATAGGTCATCTTGACCCTTTGGGTCAGATGACCTAACAAACGAAAGACAGTAACATCACCTAAGATAAGAAACGGAAAGCGACACGAGGTTAAACCTCTCACGCTAAGACAAACAAAACAACAAGACCAGGAAGTCAAAAAACAAAACCAAAAAGACATGGTGTTTTTGTCACTATATCAATATTTTGCAAAATATATTTTTGTTTCAAATCACGCACTTGCATTACATTAAACAGTTATAGATGAATGAACGATAGGTAATGTTCCGGATATCTCCAGAGAAACCACGAGTCACCATATATCCGAGTAAAATGATGGAAATAGATGTCTATATTCAATGAATATTTTGAAAAAGTATAAATTAACATACACAAGTGCAATTATTATTTCTAGATTCGAATGAGTATTTAAAGCGCAAATATGAAAAATTGATAAGAAAACCAAAAAGAAAAAACCTAAAAATCCATTTAAAATGAAACAGAACATAATATATGAAGTACTGGGGCGCTCAAATTTCGTCGTATTTCAAACTTAACCAGATTAACAAATTGGAAAGTGAAAGTATGCCATATAAAACAATAAGAAAACAGGGATACATGTGTTTCAGCGTAAATACCTGATTTCTCATACTTCAGACAGATTTTTCCTAGTTTATACTATTTTATTTTGTTCTATAGATTCAATAAATATTTTTGTTTTGGATAAATATCTTGTTAGTATGAAAATAGTTTATGTTTGAATTAGTTTCTGTGATAAAATCTCATTACCCCCCCCAAAAAAGCGAAACACAGTTCAAATAAATTTCGAAATATTTGAAAAGACAGTATACGCCGAGTTTGGTTTTATTGTTAAGTTGCTTAACAATAAGCCATAATAATTCTTTTAAATCAGTTTGAATAAAGCATAAAATCGCTCTGTTTAACAGGTTATGTTGTTATATAAATGACAACAATGTGTATACGCTGTGTTGTACACACACCCGTGTATAAATTAAGACATATGCTTTATCAAACGGGATAAATCGGGAATCATACTACAAGTTTACAAGTGCATTTCCTAATATAGAAAACACAAACAATTTATTTACAACGTGAGACACATCCTAGAACCACGAAAATAAGCCGACCGTAAAATAAGCTTTCGATTTCTTAGATAAATCAATCTGCATCTATAATCTCCAGAACATTATGCCATTGAAAAAGGCTATCGGGAATGTATGTATTCGAGGTTATCTACAGGATACACATACTTAACATCTACCGAATTATGACATTAAATAACGGTGCTGATGAACAAAACATTGAAGGGTCTGCTCTTCCGAGTTCTTAAAATAATAAATTCCACGTCACGAATGTACTTGGTACTATGACAGTTACTTACAACTTACCACAACATGAAAATATTGTTTAGTGTGAATTTTTTTAATGTATCAATGAGATGAGTTGAGAGTATTTAATATATACCTGATGTGGTCTACACGGATGGTTTCAGTACCCAGTACCACAGTTTGAAGACACCCGTATGGCAAGGTATATACACAGCGTACTTCATAAAAAATTCATTTTAAATAATATGCATTTTGTATATGAGAAGACATACTAGTTATTACAATATGTATTAGAACTATTCTATATCATGTTGTATTGCATGTGTCAATGAAAGAAACTGAGATACAAACATGCTTTTTAAAAGATTAAAATGTCCTGCTTCTTTGAGATTTTGTAGTTTTGAACAGAAGATTCATCACAACAAAACGCATGTCTGACTCTGATCTAATGGCCTCGTTTTAGGCTGTTCGTTCGCTGCAGTTACGGGGTCAGGCTCGACATACTTGGGCGCGTTATTGGACAAAGTTATCTCCTTTGGAGGTGTCGGTACTGCTTGATTTCGGTCATTTTCAGATTGTGATACTTTATGTAAGGATGTCTCCAAGGAAACGTAGCCATTGTTAGCCAATGACTCAGCGTCTTCTTTAAGCTGAGCTTCCATCGCAAGGAGGTCAATCGTCTTACGAGGTGTACTAGGGGGTGTTTTGGGTCGACCAGGGGGTGGAATGTTACGGAGAGGGTCGGGTGCCTGAACAGATGGATTCGGATTGGTACTTTTCTTTTCTGTATTTTCATCTATCGCGTTCTTAACGATTGGTTGTGAACTCTGTTGCGGTTGCTTGACATCCAGAACATGTTTTTGGTCTGTTTTGTTAGTTTCTGATAAACCGTTCTGCTTAACTGTCGCGTCTGGAACATTACTTTTCTGAAGACTTTTTTTTTTCTCCTTAACAGTTTCATTAGATTTCTTGTTAGATTTCTCATGTGACAAAGATGTTTTCTTCGAATGTTTTGGTGTTTCTGTCACTTCCGTTTTCAAATTTTCGGATTTGCTAGCAGGAATAGATTTGTTATCGAGTTTTGCTTTGGTTTTCTCGACTTCGAGTTTCTTTTGTTCTTTTTCGACCTCCTTCACCTCCAGGTGTTTGACTGCCGAAGTTATGTTTTCTGTGGTGTCTTTCTCAATTTGCTTTATGTTCGCTCGTCTCACAGGAGTAGGGGACCTGGAAGGTGTTGATCTGCCAGACTTGATATTATTTGTGTCCTCCATAGATACCGGTGAATACGAGGCTCTTTGTAAGTGTGACGGTGATTTCAGAGATGCTGGTCGACCTGTGTCGGGAGGAGGCGAGTTCGAAGCTGGAATGATTACCTCCCCTGTTGTTCCCAATAACCAATAGGTTTTCATGCGACCTTTCCCCTAAAAGAACAGACAGAAAGTAATACACTATACAGAACAGATGTAAACAGAAAGTCAAACATGTGACACGAAATTCGTACCTTATAATTTTGAAGCAACAGCTAACAAGAGGCACAAGTGACAAAGTGAGCTGAAATACAATGAAATATGCATAAACACATGCTGGCATCTTACGATTACCACACTCGCATATGCATATAACCAATTGAGAATATATCATACCACAAGTACATAAACATTCGTGACGTTGTATACAAAGACACAAAGGTCAATATCTACTTTTAATACAAATTTAGAGTAACAAACAGTAGAGCCAAACAATAAATGAAACTACATCATACAGTTATTTTGTCCTCCTTGGATTCGTCAGTGATGTATGTCTGAGGAAACTCTGAAGTGATCGACAGTAAAGTCAAAATGTAGATACATGTAGGAAAGTGTATGAGCCCCAAAGTTCAATAAATTTCGTAATTTTTATATATGTGATAAATTTAGAAGATCATCAAGTACATATGTATATTATAAACCCTGCCAATATTGTATCAAATAGATCGTGACACGAACAAACCTCCGGGACAAATGGTGCACCAGTGAAAAACACCTTTTACTACAGACTAACATAAGGGCTAGCAGACCTGTCTGTCCATAACGTCACGATCATGCGATTGTATGACGTCACAATCATGCTATAGTATGACCTCAAAATCATGCGATGGTATGACGTCACAATCATGCGATGGTATGACATCAAAATCATGCGATGGTATGACGTCACAATCATGCGATGATATGACAATCACAAGGGAATGAACAACTCGTTAATGCCTTCGATATAAAGGGTTGTATTACACTACAGCCATTTTGCTTATATCACAAAACAAATGTTACAAGGAGCATTTTTCTATAAACACCATATACCTATTGACAGCTTAAAACATGTATTGGAACGAAAAACGTATCTTGTATCATTCGACATGCATTTTCAAGAGAAAACTTACTTCAGACTTCAACAAGACAGAAATATCTTTAGTCAGGACACTTCAACGACGTACATAAATATCTGATTGATACCTACTTATTTCAATATACGAATTTCATATATATATATATATATATACATTGGCATTTAACTCTCACCCATGGTTATACCTTTACTATCTATTCTCTATACATTCTAGCTGAATAAAGTCTGAAATTCCAGATGTTTGTTCCAGAACAATGGTTACCGGTCAACATCTCGATGTTGACTGTTTACGTCACAGCTCATTTATGTTCGGAACTTCCCGGTCGTTCCTCGGCAATTTCCGCCATAATCAGCCAAGCAACACTCTAGGAAGCCTTGCTGACGTCAGCTTCATGCCCAACATTGATGACGTTCTCAATAACAGAGACAGTTCAAACACAAAATATATCATCCGCGTGACAGGGAGACAGTAGAAGGTTAACAAGACATTTACAGACAGGATTTTTGGTCAACATGTGTTAAGTTAAACCCTCGGACCAACACATGTTGACCTCAAGCCCCGTCAACAAATGTATATTATGACACACTATTATGTAAAGGCACTATGCATTTTGCTTCCGTGCTGCCACTGAAACAGTAATTCACTGGAGTGTTATACGTACACTCTAAACGACTGTGAAACTTCTGTTTTATCCTTTTATTTGCTATTATTCAATAAAATACATTCTCATTAATGTCTCTTTCATGTTTTTGACCTACTTACATTTATAATGAGCTAGATTAATTGCAATCGATTTCACGTGCAACGTCTATAAATTACCTTGACCTCCACTGAACCCCGTTCTTCGACCTTGTACGGCATAGAGGCGATCTCGATTTTTGTAGTCTCACTGATATGTATCTTGTTTGCCTGACAAAATATAGGTTAAAAAATTACAACAGGCAAAAATTAAAACAGCGCCGATCAGTAAAATTCAGTATATATATGAGACACAAGAGATAATAGACATATCTGTACATAAGAATGAACACGAGACACAAAATAGAATTGACTCTTAAATAGGTCCCTGTATCGTCAATTCGCCCACAGAAAACTCGCCCCAGAAAACTACTTACGGGACTAAAGATGATAATTGAATAGGAATAAAGGCAGAGACTTAGGAAGTAAATGAGAAGTGTAATAAATTTGGAAAAGAAGTTATACTGAGAAAAAAAATTGAAAGGAAAAAATCCCAATTCCAAGTTTCCATGGGCGAGTTAACGAACCTGGTGCCTATTCGAGCATATTCAAAATAATGTGTTATATAACACATTGTTTATATATATATATATATAACTGATGACATTTATCAAATTTATCAAATATATTATTTATTGTTACTAATGCATACATTTATTAAAATGGGTTTTTTTTTAAATCACTTTTTTTAATCAACATAACCAGTCTTTTTGTTAGACAATAATTTTTCATTCCTTAACCTATTTTTTTTATTAATTATTCTTTATTTCCACAAACATTTTCAAGAGTACCATTTTCACATTCTGTCGAAATTGACGTAAGTGTATACATGTTTCGGACCTGGATGATTACAAAATCAACCAGCCGTATCATCACTTAATGTACCCATTATTTTCACTATTTTTGTTTCGAAATATAAGAATTACATTTCGATCTATTTTTTTTCAATGATTTGACAAAATTCAACGATGTTTGACGCTAGTTACCTCGCTATTGGTTTCCATCCTCGAGGCAGTGTTGACTGTGTCCCCGAACAAACAATAGCGTGGCATCTTCACGCCCACAACCCCTGCCACCGCCATTCCGCTGTGGATACCTGTCACATATAACGAAGATTTTACCACGTAAGTCCGTTCCCGAAATTAAAATATTAATGTTCTGATTGAAACAATTCCATATTGATAACTTGAATAATTTCTTGCCCCGCACAACAAGTAAATGATGTTATAAATCAAGGACATCTTTATAATACAAAGTATTCCCACTACTACCATAAAATATGATGAACTAATTATTATGGATTGAAATATTGCGTATTTCTGACATAAATCTTAAATAACAGAACTTGACGTTCATGTAAAACATCCAAGTTTGTTGGTGAATGAGAAATTGGCCACCGGGGAGAACTGATTTCCGTAGCGTTCTTTACACTCAAACTTCTGCGGAAATTTCGTTAATGCGTGGCCTAGATAGAATAGGCATCTGGTGTTGTTTCAAGATAAAGATGTGGGTCAGACTAATCTCCGTGAAAAAACACCACAGCGTACACTGAACTTTGGCATTTAGAAGTAAACACTATGGTTATATTCTGTGGGACATCGTTTGTTGGACATGTATGTCTTTAACGAGACATAAATCCTAGTTAATTTCAAAATAGTTAGCTAAGGGGAAAAAACAATGGTTAAGAAAACGGGAAGATATAGACATACGGAAAAAGGGAAGATAAACGGAGAATATATGTCCTTAAAATATCGGCCATATTTTGACGGCAGTAAAGAAAGACAAAAGTGATTAATTGAAACATTTTTTTACCGCTACGCTGAAATAAGACAAATGAAGTATAAGCCCAGATAACTGCTATGAAAGGAAATGTAGTTTCAATCTCCAACGGATAATGGCCTTTTCGTGAATTGGAAATTCATATAAAATTTTTCATTCCACAACAAACAAATAATCGCATCAATCAAAAACTTCTTCATTATTATTTTTTTCCGTAAAAAGGAAGTGTTATATTGTATTGAACGTGCTAAATGACAGTTGTTTTCTGTCACCGCCGAACACAGCAAAACCATATATGGCAAATGTTATCCGACAATTGCAGCGCCAATTGGTAAACACCATACATTTTCGTTATAAAGTAATGTTGATCGGATTCCTCAAAATGCAGAAAAAAGTTGATATTCAAAGGTGTTAGATTTCTCGATGGTGATACAAGAGGTTTGATAAAATCATGGTTTCATTGTGGTATATTGAAACACCAAGTAATACTGAGCACACCATCTGTGCATAGGTCACATTGGGGTATATCGATGGAAGTATGACAGGAATGTGATAATATGTATAAAGTTGTAGCATCAAGGATAAGTATCAACCTACCAACTCGGATTTTCATACTCTCACCGGATGTTGGATTTATGAGATCTGACATTGTTACGAGCATGTCCAGCGCCATATTACAGATGCTCACTGCGTGGTATTTTGTCACGTTCGGCGCTCCTGCTACCCCCATGTAGGCATCCCCAATTGTTTCTACCTGTAAACATGTCCAAAAATGTTTTAAAAATTGAAACAAAATAGGGTTATAGGACGTGAAATATTTAGATTTCACATAATAAGCGTTTTAAAAGATGAATTCGCCAATATGACCCTTTTGCACTTTAGTGTAATATGCCTGGAGATTTTTTATTGATTGCGTCAGTCAAAAATCGACAGTGATGTCATATAATGTAATACAGAAAACGACGTCATGACACGGAATTAAAATGACGCTGCTACCGTTTGTTTTGTTTTCTATATAATGACTCTAAACACCTGTGGATATATAACTCTTAGGAGTTATATTAAGATGAGAATTAAGTTTGCTTTCATTTTTTGTGATATTTGTTAGTCAAGGCTCACAAAAAATAAAACTTCGTATAAAGTCGCACATGAAATGCTTGCTCATTATTTTTCGCGGAAGATGTCGGCAACTGACAAACAAAATCAGGACACAAGGGATCGAGAGATGCTGGCTGTCATTGCACCACACAATCCGATTCCATGACTAAACGTGTACTCTCTAAATTCACAGAGTTGTACAGTGACGTGTCATAAGTTTTTCATGTTTTTTCAAATCTTTTATAATATATTTTCTTCGTATTTCGAACCTTTTTCGATAAATTCGTTCATGGACAATTTTTGATGAAATTTTGTACACTTATTGAGAATTGTTTCCTCCCTCATCTCATATAATCTCCATTGTTTTCCGCTGTGTATGATAGGAGAAATAAATATCTATTTACAACATGCTGTTTTCGGGAGGCCATTTTGACGTCATTTTGTAGGAAAATGGCGTTACATGGAAATTGGCAGTTTAGGTAATTTGTACTACTCCTTAAAAAACCAACGGCGAATTAGATGAATGTTATGAGAAGTAAATACGGATATGGCTAGATATTGTCCAAATCCATCCCTGCACGAATTCAAGAATCTTAACTTTAAAAAGTTTGAAGTAATAAGAAAATCAGAAAAAAAACCAACAAAAATGAAGGAATTGGGGGGGGATGGAGAGGATGGATGACCTACATATGAAAATAAAGATCAAAATAATCAATGTAAGCAAAATATATAAATATAAATAGCAAGAAAATTAGGTCAAAGTTCACTCCTGATCGATATATTACAGCTCTGACAACAAATGTAAGTGAACACCTAATCCCCATGGGTTATTTAAAGCTGTTTGGTTTAGATACCGATAAATGGTGTTAACGGCACGCCACTGCGCAGGGACACGACTACGACAGAACACTGCAAGAATGTTTCCAATGATAAGAAACGTCATGTTAAATTCGACTGACATACACCCCACTGCGCATGTCGATTAGCCATCGAGTTCCGGACATTTCTTTCTGTTACTACGATATCGCGTGTACAACCGTCACATTTCATGAATTGCTGCCACTGCTCACCTAGTAAATAAATGAATGCTCCAAGGGAGTTAAATTCTGTATCTGTATGATTGTAATTGTTTCTAATAGCCACCCCCATTAACAGAACAGGAAACGGTCTGTTTATTGTGTCGATCTTCTGTATTTAGCGTTAATGATCAAAACTGACGTGTTTGAGGATTTGTTCTCTGTGGACCTCACTGACTACTTTATCGTAAATATATCGGACGTGGAACGGACAGAAAATTTGTCCTCGTTCCACAGAGAATAAGAAAAAGCTGTTAATGTGTTCACAAGTCCATGAAAGACGAGAATTTTGTTTATAGGGAATCGACAGTATAGGGTAACACTTCAGACTGAAGAGATTGTGAATATTTGTGTGGATTGTTCCTTGTAATTTCTAATCTCATTTATCAATACAAGTTTGTTTTATTTGCAAAATGGAATGGGTGTTTGGCTTGTACTGTATTACATGTAAACATTATGCCTAACTTGTTTGCATCAAAATCAATGGCGAGAATTGATAGAATAAAATATTGGTTTTCCGGCGTATGAGCTCTGACGTCAGGTGTTACAAATCCACGACCAGGGACCTCATCATATTTATATAAAAGAAATTATTAACAATGGTCCATAAGATGTGAAATATATTCCAAGTAACACAACGTTTTAAGGTATCAGGCGATAAAACCAGACAACAGAAAGGATGTTTTACATTGGACTGTATCTGTGAGGTTCTAGGTTTCATTTGGTGTCTAAGACAGCTTTGTGATTTACGTTGGACTGTTTCTGTGAGGTTCTAGGTTTTATTTGGTGTCTAACATATCTTTGTGTTTTACATTGGACTGTTTCTGTGAGGTTCTAGGTTTTATTTCGTGTCTAACATATCTTTGTGTTTTACATTGGACTGTTTCTGTGAGGTTCGCGGTTTTATTTCGTGTCTAACGTTTCTGTGTGATTTACAATGGACTGTCTCTGTGAGGTTCTAGGTTTTATTTGGTGTCTAACATATCTTTGTGTTTTACATTGGACTGTTTCTGTGAGGTTCTAGGTTTTATTTCGTGTCTAACGTTTCTGTGTGATTTACATTGGACTGTATCTGTGAGGTTCTAGGTTTTATTTGGTGTCTAACATATCTTTGTGATTTACATTGGACTGTTTCTGTGAGGTTCTAGGTTTTATTTCGTGTCTAACGTTTCTGTGTGATTTACATTGGACTGTCTCTGTGAGGTTCTAGGTTTTATTTGGTGTCTAAGACAGCTTTGTGATTTACGTTGGACTGTTTCTGTGAGGTTCTAGGTTTTATTTGGTGTCTAACGTATCTTTGTGTTTTACATTGGACTGTCTCTGTGAGGTTCTAGGTTTTATTTGGTGTCTAACGTATCTTTGTGTTTTACATTGGACTGTTTCTGTGAGGTTCTAGGTTTTATTTCGTGTCTAACGTTTCTGTGTGATTTACATTGGACTGTTTCTGTGAGGTTCGCGGTTTTATTTGGTGTCTAACATATCTTTGTGATTTACATTGGACTGTTTCTGTGAGGTTCTAGGTTTTATTTGGTGTCTAAGACAGCTTTCTGATTTACGTTGGACTGTTTCTGTGAGGTTCTAGGTTTTATTTCATGTCTAACGTTTCTGTGTGATTTACATTGGACTGTTTCTGTGAGGTTCGCGGTTTTATTTGGTGTCTAACGTATCTGTGTGATTTACATTGGACTGTTTCTGTGAGGTTCGCGGTTTTATTTGGTGTCTAACATATCTTTGTGATTTACATTGGACTGTTTCTGTGAGGTTCTAGGTTTTATTTGGTGTCTAACATATCTTTGTGATTTACATTGGACTGTTTCTGTGAGGTTCGCGGTTTTATTTGGTGTCTAACATATCTTTGTGTTTTACATTGGACTGTTTCTTTGTGATTTACGTTGGACTGTTTCTGTGACGTTCGCAGTTATATTTGGAGTCTAAGACAGCTTTGTGATTTACAGCTTTGTGATTTACGTTGGACTGTTTCTGTGAGGTTCTAGGTTTTATTTGGTGTCTAACGTATCTTTGTGTTTTACATTGGACTGTCTCTGTGAGGTTCTAGGTTTTATTTGGTGTCTAAGACAGCTTTCTGATTTACGTTGGACTGTTTCTGTGAGGTTCTAGGTTTTATTTGGTGTCTAACATATCTTTGTGATTTACATTGGACTGTTTCTGTGAGGTTCGCGGTTTTATTTGGTGTCTAACGTATCTTTGTGATTTACATTGGACTGTTTCTGTGAGGTTCTAGGTTTTATTTGGTGTCTAACATATCTTTGTGTTTTACATTGGACTGTCTCTGTGAGGTTCTAGGTTTTATTTGGTGTCTAAGACAGCTTTGTGATTTACGTTGGAGGTTTTATTTGGTGTTTATCTAGGTTTTATTTGGTGAACGTTGGACTGTTTCTGTGAGGTTCTAGGTTTTATTTGGTAAGCTTTCTGATTTACGTTGGACTGTTTCTGTGAGGTTCTAGGCTTTTGTGATTTACATTGGACTGTTTCTGTGAGGTTCGCGGTTTTATTTGGTGTCTAACATATCTTTGTGATTTACATTGGACTGTCTGTGAGGTTCTAGGTTTTATTTTTTAGTATCTTTGTGTTTTTTGGTGTCTGAGGTTCTAGGTTTTACAGTATCTTTGTGATTTACATTGGACTGTTTCTGTGAGGTTCTAGGTTTTATTTGGTGTCTAACGTATCTTTGTGATTTACATTGGACTGTTTCTGTGAGGTTCTAGGTTTTATTTTGGTGTCTAACGTATCTTTGTGATTTACGTTGGACTGTTTCTGTGAGGTTCTAGGTTTTATTTGGTGTCTAAGACAGCTTTGTGATTTACGTTGGACTGTTTCTGTGAGGTTCTAGGTTTTATTTGGTGTCTAACATATCTTTGTGATTTACATTGGACTGTTTCTGTGAGGTTCGCGGTTTTATTTGGTGTCTAACATATCTTTGTGATTTACATTGGACTGTTTCTGTGAGGTTCGCGGTTTTATTTGGTGTCTAACATATCTTTGTGTTTTACATTGGACTGTTTCTGTGAGGTTCTAGGTTTTATTTGGTGTCTAAGACAGCTTTCTGATTTACATTGGACTGTTTCTGTGAGGTTCGTATTTTTATTTGAAGTATAAGACAGCTTTGTGATTTACGTTGGACTGTTTCTGTGACGTTCGCAGTTATATTTGGAGTCTAAGACAGCTTTGTGATTTACGTTGGACTGTTTCTGTGAGGTTTGAGGTTTATTTGAAGTCTAAGACAGCTTTGTGATTTACGTTGGACTGTTTCTGTGAGGTTTGAGGTTTTATTTGAAGTCTAAGACAGCTTTGTGATTTACGTTGGACTGTCTCTGTGAGGTTCTAGGTTTTATTTGAAGTCTAAGACAGCTTTGTGATTTACGTTGGACTGTTTCTGTGAGGTTCTAGGTTTTATTTGGAGTCTAAGACAGCTTTGTGATTTACGTTGGACTGTTTCTGTGAGGTTCTAGGTTTTATTTGGTGTCTAAGACAGCTTTGTGATTTACGTTGGACTGTTTCTGTGAGGTTCTAGGTTTTATTTGGTGTCTAAGACAGCTTTGTGTTTTACATTGGACTGTTTCTGTGATGATTTACGTCACAATGTTAAAACTATGACGATGTTTTGAGTTTCGTCTCGTCTGAATAAAATTGTATGAGTACTTTTGTTTAAGGAGTGTTTTGGTGATTAAAACCCTTGTGACATTGTTGTCCATGTAATTGCTTGATGCACTATGCATTACCTTATATACACTATGTAGCTCACTGAGATTATCAAACTTCGTATACATAGCGTTCAGCATGGAAACTACGTCCATCGGAGAAATCTGGCTGCATATGGCGGTAAAACCGACAACATCACTGAACACAATCGTCAGACAGTCAAACACCTGAAACATCAGACATTGGTATATAATATAACTAAACACGATCGTCAGACAGTCAAACACCTGAAACGTGAGACATTGGTATATAATATAACTAAACACGATCGTCAGACAGTCAAACACCTGAAACGTGAGACATTGGTATATAATATAACTAAACACGACCGTCAGACAGTCAAACATCTGAAACATCAGACATTGGTATATGACATCCCTGATACAAATTGATGCTAATTTTAGAAAACATACCATTAAAATCATCTATAATGAGTATTCGGATGATTATGATATCACAAATAATATCAAGTGATATATTTATCCCGGTATCAAAGGTATATTCATTGTTTCGCCTTTTTCTACCTGTCATGGAAATATTATCTTTAAAACATCTTTATTTATTGACAAGCATTTAACCTTGCAGCTAGTAAGAATTACAACTTATTATAGAACCGCTCTGTTATCAGTGTGACATAGTGTTGCGTTATTTCTTACTAAGGTTGTGCTATGACCAAGTGTGTAATAACAACCGAGTTTTAAAATGTGATTCACTTTAGATGTAAACGTAAATATCGTGCTCGTGTTGGTCCAGTAACTGCTGAATCTATGACCAGTATGATGGATTACTGTCTAAGCCGGCGATCCCTTCCGGCATCAAATTAAAGCTAATCGTGTTTCATACTACTGAAAGCGAAATTAATTCAGCTACTGACCTCGCACGTGCTGATAGACTCCTCTCCACTACGTAATCGATCAGCAACAGGTTTGGGTATCATCTGGTAGAGGAGGGAATCTGTTCTTTTCATCTCCTCGTCAAGTTTCTGCATGCTCTCCTCTAAGATTTTACTCTTTTGTTGCTCCTTTAGATACATATTTCATTTAACAATTAAATTAACAGTTAAACAACGCTTTTACTCCTGCACACTACTAACTTTTGAACAAACTATAGCCGAATTGACTACAGTGCATTGTTTCCATCTTTTTACTGTTTTTCTATAAGCTTTTAACCATCTCGTCAAAATATTTTCTACATAAAATGTAAGTAGGATTTTAGTACAGCCGAAAACGTTGGTCATCTCCTTACCATTTCTTACAATAGGTACGTCAGTTCTAGTACGCTTCTCATTGGTAATTTGTCTGATGAAAGTGATTGTGTAGTCATTGAGACGTCACACTCTAGTGTTCTACAGGTAGTAAGAATTTATAGCCTAATGAAATTGCTAATCTGAGCAAATTGTTTCGAACCATCCCAAAAAATTGAAAAAAAATTACAAAAGCGATACAAAACAGAAACTGATCACCGTTTAAAATAAACTAAAACATAATAAAACACAGTAGTTCAGGAGTAAGAAAACAAAACTCTATTGAGGTGTACAATGTGAACGAAAAACGATTTACTCCATATTCTCAAGACAAGTCAACTAAACTGTTTCTATCTTGTTCAAAACTGGCCCTGGAAATATCAATTTGAATTAAACACGTGACACAATCATTCGTTCTTCCGATGAGCCTAACAATCCATGCACCTGTGACCTTGCTTTAGACATATTACTTTACATTCAACAGCAAGTGCGTACCTGGTCAAGGGCAAGCTTGAGTTCAGCGGACTGCTGCGTTCCCGCTAGAACAAGGTCGCGACTGGAATCATGCATACTCAAATCGTTGATGTACAAACCTGCTCTGCCCATGGCTTCCAGGTTCTCCATCCTGTCGAAAGAATTATTGAATCTTTAGCGGAGGGGATGGGGTGGGGAATTAGGCTCTATAAAAGGTATATACTGTGATTTTCTTGAAAATAAACACTGTGCACTCTTAATTAAGCTGTCTATACATCGGCTGAAATTGGAACCCAAATAGTTGAAAACATATCTTTGTCGAGTGCAAAGAACATTAAGTTAAGTTAATGTTTATAATCACGTTTTAGATAATGATGGTATGTGATACTTTATTTCAACACGTCTTCTCAATTTTTTTTCAGAAAACGACGATAGTCCTTTTATCTACGTGTCTTTGATTCCCTTGTAATGGGTAAGTGCTAGGGTTTGACTACCAATTGTCAATCAGAACGATCGTTTAATTCGCATACATTTTCCAGTTTTATCTAACCAAGATGCTGATGGCGAAATCTCCGCACAAATTAGGATTTCTGCCATAGAGAATCACTATAAATCTGCTGTAAGACATTTACAGTCCTTAAGCCTGACACCATCCAGCTCAATCAATAACACAATAATATAAAACAATTTCAGAGTCAACTTTAAAAGCCACTTCCGGTTTACTTAGAGGTAAGTAAGAATTTAATTGGTTAAAAGCCTAAACGAATAAGCTGCATATTTGTGTTTCCGTCATTAGCTAAAGTCACACGACTTGAGGATATCAGAGGTAGTATTAATGATATTTAATCCTGTGATATCATAGTGAAACATGCATGGTACAGAAATGGATTTAGTCAGCCAAGTGTACATTTTACCACATAAACGATTCATTGGAAAGGTAATTAGGACTTATCTCGCTAGATTAATTTTATATCATTTTTTATAACCATAAGATGGTGCTTTTTCGCTCTTGAAAATTAAAAATCATTTGTATTAGCATGTTTACGACCTAGTAGGCCAGGCTACCCTGATCATGACCATCGGTATCTTAATTTCGTTTTTCTCTATAATTTCTTACAAGACCAAAACCAAAAGGATACCATTAATGGCGAGTCGAAGGTACAAACAGGCCCTGGAATACACTTCGACCTCCGATTTATTCCTTCATATTTGATATAGCCATTTGCCAAGGATTAATGGCACAGTCGCTTTCGAAAAAAAGATGGAAAATCATTTCTTTTAAAATCGATTGAGGCTGTTATCAAATAAACGGTTCTAATATCAACTTTAAGTTTTAATCTTGTCTCAGACCTTAATGTGAGGGCCATTTCGTCCGTTTCCATTTTCTATAATCACAAAAGTGAATTATCAACGACGATAGTATCTAACTCATTATAAAAAGAATGCAATATGATAAGGTCAGATGTGTTTGATGTTATCAATGGTTCTTGATGTTTACCCTTTTCTCTTTCGGGATCATGACATTACATACTAGGATTGACCAAGTTTTACTCATGTCGTCGTTGAAGATGAATATATCTTTATTGTCTTTATAACGTTCTAGGCGTTTCCATGGTATTCTGTCTTTATTTGTTCTTAATTTCCCAAAATGTCATCAGTTTTATGAATGATTCTACAGAAATGTCAAAATTTCTTTTTTCCTTTTCTGTTTGTTTTTTGTCTTCTATCTATATCAATTTTTTATCAATACAATACGCATTGTGACATCGATATAGTTGTATAGATTACAATATCACAATAAAGATTATATATCAGCAGTTAAATGTTGGTTCTGGTTACTATCTTAGTGACCAGATCAATATATAATATAATCATCATTCCTTTCCACTTTATTTGAAGTAAATGATACTCGTTATTTGTTTTCCTTTTGTCGTTGTGTAGTGATACTGTGATATATTTTGTCGTTGTGTAGTGATACTGTGATATATTTTGTCTTTGTGTAGTGATACTGTGATATATTTTGTCGTTGTGTAGTGATACTGTGGTATATTTTGTCATTGTGTAGTGATACTGTGATATATTTTGTCGTTGTGTAGTGATACTGTGATATATTTTGTCGTTGTGTAGAGATACTGTGATATATTTTGTCGTTGTGTAGTGATACTGTGATATATTTTGTCGTTGTGTAGTGATACTGTGATATATTTTTTCGTTGTGTAGTGATACTGTGATATATTTTGTCGTGTGTGATACTGTGATATACGTTGTGTAGTGATATATATTTATTGTGTAGTGATACTGTGATATATTTTGTCGTGTGTAGTAGTGATACTGTGATATATTTTGTCGTTGTGTAGAGATACTGTGATATATTTTGTCGTTGTGTAGTGATACTGTGATATATTTTGTCGTTGTGTAGTGATACTGTGATATATTTTGTCGTTGTGTAGTGATATTTTGTCGTTGTGTAGTGATACTGTGATATATTTTGTTGTGTAGTGATACTGTGATATATTTTGTCGTTGTGTAGTGATACTGTGATATATTTTGTCGTTGTGTAGTGATACTGTGATATATTTTGTCATTGTGTAGTGATACTGTGATATATTATGTCATTGTGTAGTGATACTGTGATATATTTTGTTGTGTAGAGATACTGTGATATATTTTGTCGTTGTGTAGTGATACTGTGGTATATTTTGTCATTGTGTAGTGATACTGTGATATATTTTGTCGTTGTGTAGTGATACTGTGATATATTTTGTGTGATATATTGTGTAGTGATACTGTGATATATTTTGTCGTTGTGTAGTGATACTGTGATATATTTTTGTTGTTGTGTAGATATATTGTGTAGTGATACTGTGATATATTTTTGTGTAGTGATACTGTGATATATTTTGTCGTTGTGTAGTGATACTGTGATATATTTTGTCTGTGATATATTTTGTCGTTGTGTAGTGATACTGTGATATATTTTGTCGTTGTGTAGTGATACTGTGATATATTTTGTCGTTGTGTAGTGATACTGTGATATATTTTGTCGTTGTGTAGTGATACTGTGATATATTTTGTCGTTGTGTAGTGATACTGTGATATATTTTGTCGTTGTGTAGTGATACTGTGATATATTTTGTCGTTGTGTAGTGATACTGTGATATATTTTGTCGTTGTGTAGTGATACTGTGATATATTTTGTCGTTGTGTAGTGATACTGTGATATATTTTGTCGTTGTGTAGTGATACTGTGATATATTTTGTCGTTGTGTAGTGATACTGTGATATATATATTTTGTCGTTGTGTAGTGATACTGTGATATATTGTTGTGATTGTGTAGTGATACTGTGATATATTTTTGTTGTGTAGTGATGATATATTTTGTCGTTGTGTGTGATATATATTTTGTCGTTGTGTAGTGATACTGTGATATATTTTGTCGTTGTGTAGTGATACTGTGATATATTTTGTCGTTGTGTAGTGATACTGTGATATATTTTGTCGTTGTGTAGTGATACTGTGATATATTTTGTCGTTGTGTAGTGATACTGTGATATATTTTGTCGTTGTGTAGTGATACTGTGATATATTTTGTCGTTGTGTAGTGATACTGTGATATATTTTGTCGTTGTGTAGTGATACTGTGATATATTTTGTCGTTGTGTAGTGATACTGTGATATATTTTGTCGTTGTGTAGTGATACTGTGATATATATTTTTTCTTTTTGTAGTGTTACTGTGATATATTTTGTCGTTGTGTAGTGATACTGTGATATATTTTGTCGTTGTGTAGTGATACTGTGATATATTTTGTCGTTGTGTAGTGATACTGTGATATATTTTGTCGTTGTGTAGTGATACTGTGATATATTTTGTCGTTGTGTAGTGATACTGTGATATATTTTGTTGTGTAGTGATACTGTGATATATTTTGTCGTTGTGTAGTGATACTGTGATATATTTTGTTGTGTAGTGATACTGTGATATATTTTGTCGTTGTGTAGTGATACTGTGATATATTTTGTCGTTGTGTAGTGATACTGTGATATATTTTGTCGTTGTGTAGTGATACTGTGATATATTTTGTCGTTGTGTAGTGATACTGTGATATATTTTGTCGTTGTGTAGTGATACTGTGATATACGTTGTGTAGTGATACTGTGATATATTTTTGTTGTTGTGATACTGTGATATACTAGTGATATATATATTTTGTCGTTGTGTAGTGATACTGTGATATATTTTGTCGTTGTGTAGTGATACTGTGATATATTTTGTCGTTGTGTAGTGATACTGTGATATATTTTGTCGTTGTGTAGTGATACTGTGATATATGTGTAGTGATACTGTGATATATTTTGTCGTTGTGTAGTGATACTGTGATATATTTTGTCGTTGTGTAGTGATACTGTGATATATTTTGTCGTTGTGTAGTGATACTGTGATATATTTTGTCGTTGTGTAGTGATACTGTGATATATTTTGATATCGTTGTGTAGTGATACTGTGATATATGTTACTGTGATATATACTGTGATATATTTTGTCGTTGTGTAGTGATACTGTGATATTTTTTGGTTGTGTAGTGAGACTGTGACTGTGATATTTTGTCGTTGTGTAGTGATACTGTGATATATTTTGTCGTTGTGTAGTGATACTGTGATATATTTTGTCGTTGTGTAGTGATACTGTGATATATTTTGTCGTTGTGTAGTGATACTGTGATATATTTTGTCGTTGTGTAGTGATACTGTGATATATTTTGTCATTGTGTAGTGATACTGTGGTATATTTTGTCGTTGTGTAGTGATACTGTGATATATTTTGTTGTTGTGTAGTGATGCTGTGATATATTTTGTCGTTGTGTAGTGATGCTGTGATATATTTTGTCGTTGTGTAGTGATACTGTGATATATTTTGTCGTTGTGTAGTGATACTGTGATATATTTTGTTGTGTAGTGATACTGTGATATATTTTGTTGTGTAGTGATACTGTGATATATTTTGTCGTTGTGTAGTGATACTGTGATATATTTTGTCGTTGTGTAGTGATACTGTGATATATTTTGTCGTTGTGTAGTGATACTGTGATATATTTTGTCGTTGTGTAGTGATACTGTGATATATTTTGTCGTTGTGTAGTGATACTGTGATATATTTTGTCGTTGTGTAGTGATACTGTGATATATTTTGTCGTTGTGTAGTGATACTGTGATATATTTTGTCGTTGTGTAGTGATACTGTGATATATTTTGTCGTTGTGTAGTGATACTGTGATATATTTTGTCGTTGTGTAGTGATACTGTGATATATTTTGTCGTTGTGTAGTGATACTGTGATATATTTTGTCGTTGTGTAGTGATACTGTGATATATTTTGTCGTTGTGTAGTGATACTGTGATATATTTTGTCGTTGTGTAGTGATACTGTGATATATTTTGTCGTTGTGTAGTGATACTGTGATATATTTTGTCGTTGTGTAGTGATACTGTGATATATTTTGTCGTTGTGTAGTGATACTGTGATATATTTTGTCGTTGTGTAGTGATACTGTGATATATTTTGTCGTTGTGTAGTGATACTGTGATATATTTTGTCGTTGTGTAGTGATACTGTGATATATTTTGTCGTTGTGTAGTGATACTGTGATATATTTTGTCGTTGTGTAGTGATACTGTGATATATTTTGTCGTTGTGTAGTGATACTGTGATATATTTTGTCGTTGTGTAGTGATACTGTGATATATTTTGTCGTTGTGTAGAGATACTGTGATATATTTTGTCGTTGTGTAGCGATACTGTGATGTAATTTGTCGCCGTTGGATGACGTTCTTGTGTAATATGGCCATGGATGTTGATAATTTATTGTATTTTGTCGTAAGCTAACAAAGTAATACCATTTGCACTTTGACAAAATATTCTCAAATATGTTCATTGCCGCATAATTTTGTTAACTACTTCCAACATGGCTGTTTTGAAAAAAATGTGTCCTCTTATCTGAACATGTTCCTTCTGTATAACAGCTATGATATATATCACCTTTATATAATCTCTGATACATAGACTGTGCTATGTTTGCCCAGACTCTGTACACTATAAATCGTCAACGTTAACTTATTCCCTTAAAGTGTATTAATACTGATCTCACTCTGAAGTGAAACGTGACGATAAACTAACGAATTATAATGGTTTACTTACACTGGTGTGCCCATGAAGATAATACAGTCCCATTCCGGCATAAACACCATCTGTCCCTTCAAATGAAGTTTGTGTTCTCCGTCTTGTTCTAAATTTTAAAAAATGTCCATATAAATAATTTTGTTCTTAGAAAATAAAAGGTCATATCTGATACCATTGAGTTTGATATATCGCTACGTAAACATACGAAATATTAGTCTACTTATTTTTTTTCTCACAAAGAAAAATATAAGAGAGTTACAACATCATCGCTCCTTAGTTAGAACTTCGAATATTTTTTCAGCGTAAATTTATGATGAAAAAAGTTTCTAGTTAACTAGATTTTAACGATTTGGAATCTAACAGAAGAACGTTACCTGAAAATAAATTGATAAATCCTTTTTATTATCACTATAAAGTACTAAAAGGGACCGAAGTATCTTGAATACGTATTCAGTAACACTACTGGAACAATTGTTACTGATGTAGATCGCATTGATTTCTACTGTGACGTCATCAGTTACGTTAAATGTCTTCAAGTGAAGTATGACCACAATAAAGATATAGAAACACTGGAGATAAAAAGGTCATCATTTCACTTAATTGGTCAGTACGTCAATAACGCAATTATATGTAGTCACTAACATCATATTGTGGTTGTGTAACTGACGATTAAATCTATATACTCTACCTGGAACCGTGCTGTAAACCTATACCCTACCTGTAACCGTGCTGTAAACCTTCCACATCTATATACTCTACCTGTAACCGTGCTGTAAACCTCCAACATCTATATACTCTACCTGTAACCGTGCTGTAAACCTTCCACATCTATATACTCTACCTGTAACCGTGCTGTAAACCTCCAACATCTATATACTCTACCTGTAACCGTGCTGTAAACCTCCAACATCTATATACTCTACCTGTAACCGTGCTGTAAACCTATACCCTACCTGTAACCGTGCTGTAAACCTCCAACATCTATATACTCTACCTGTAACCGTGCTGTAAACCTCCAACATCTATATACTCTACCTGTAACCGTGCTGTAAACCTCAAATATCTATATACTCTACCTGTAACCGTGCTGTAAACCTCCAACATCTATATACTCTACCTGTAACCGTGCTTTAAACCTCCAACATCTATATACTCTACCTGTAACCGTGCTGTAAACCTCCAACATCTATATACTCTACCTGTAACCGTGCTGTAAACCTCCAACATCTATATACTCTACCTGTAACCGTGCTGTAAACCTCCAACATCTATATACTCTACCTGTAACCCTGCTGTAAACCTTCTACATCTATATACTCTACCTGTAACCGTGCTGTAAACCTCCAACATCTATATACTCTACCTGTAACCCTGCTGTAAACCTTCTACATCTATATACTCTACCTGTAACCGTGCTGTAAACCTCCAACATCTATATACTCTACCTGTAACCGTGCTGTAAACCTCCAACATCTATATACTCTACCTGTAACCGTGCTGTAAACCTCCAACATCTATATACTCTACCTGTAACCGTGCTGTAAACCTCCAACATCTATATACTCTACCTGTAACCGTGCTGTAAACCTCCAACATCTATATACTCTACCTGTAAACCTCCAACATCTATATACTCTACCTGTAACCGTGCTGTAAACCTCCAACATCTATATACCCTACCTGTAACCGTGCTGTAAACCTCCAACATCTATATACTCTACCTGTAACCGTGCTGTAAACCTCCAACATCTATATACTCTACCTGTAACCGTGCTTTAAACTTCCAACATCTATATACTCTACCTGTAACCGTGCTGTAAACCTCCAACATCTATATACTCTACCTGTAACCGTGCTGTAAACCTCCAACATCTATATACTCTACCTGTAACCGTGCTTTAAACCTCCAACATATATATACTTTACCTGTAACCGTGCTGTAAACCTCCAACATCTATATACTCTACCTGTAACCGTGCTGTAAACCTCCAACATCTATATACTCTACCTGTTACCGTACAATTTACTATAACTTTCTGTTTCTTATGCTTGGTATCAATCGAAACCTTTCAAACACTATCTCAGATATCTGAATCCGTACCGTAAATCTTCTAGTACTACCCCCTATGTCTGTGTTTGTACCGTTAATCTCTATTACTATAAGTTTATAAATAAAGGTTTTTACAGCGAGTATAAATTGTGTATTGTTATTACTACTCTTTGACTGAATTGTAATACAGCTGAGAAAGTGAATACATTGATAACCTTCCTCAGTATACATAAGATCTACTAGTTATTGTTACAGAGATGTCACAGACAAACTTGCCAATAGCTGTCTATTCACCTGCCAAAATGGCCATACCTTTGTTTTTGCCTCGTTTGATTTTTTCTTCATTCCGCTTCACTGTGCAGTTATCTGAAGCTATTTCAAATACATTGTTTGTGTGAGCCATGATCTGTAATGACAATATGAAACATTTAATTGGGTGTCTCGGACAATACTCGGACGGTAGGTACGCTATAGGACTGATAGAGATGTCGACAATTACTACAGACAGAATTTACCTTGTGAACAACAAACTGAAAACACTGTATCTATTGGAAATTCGTAAAAAGTAACAGAGCAGTAACGTGCCAGGGGCGCAATAATGTAGACGTTGCAGATGGGCAATTTCGATGTTTTGGCAATATCGCCCGTGAAAGGTTTTGCATGAATACTATACCAATTTCCTCCCTCCCTTCCCGTATGTCAATATTCCAACTAATGCTGACTTTAATACGATGGAAAAGGCCGGGCTCACAGCAGCCTCGTCTTTTTCGTGCCGAAAGTATTCTTATATCACCTGAACTATTCAGGAATGATGATGTTTCCAATAAGATGTACAGTTCAACTTTTACTGTTTTGTAGTCAATCGTTTTTAATTTAGTTGATCAATATTACGAACAACACTAAACAGAAGTTTGTTTTCATGACAATTAGGGTGAGCTAAAATGATCGTTATCGGCAAATGTCTCCTTAGTTGGTAATGTATTTGGTGTTATTAGTTAGTCTGGTGGTTTCATTCTTATAAACTGGTTGAAACGTTCCCATCCAGAACATCTTACTATTGCATGTTTATTCCGTGAAGAATAATAGTCGCTTTGAAATCTCCGTGTGATCTTGATTCATTACTATGGCGAGTCTATACCGCCTCAATATTCTATTCTCTTGTGTGCTGTCGAATGTGTTTGATGCTCGTTTGTATACAAAGTTATTCCGCAGTTGTTCTCTTTGTTCTTATTTTGGACGCTTCACCTGCCGGAACACTGGTCTTATTTTTGTCCTTTTTCGTGAATCTCATTGTAAAGCTTTCTTTTAACCTAGTTCCATCGAATGAAAGCTCGAATTAAAATTTTGTTATCGTGTTGGTATTTTCTTTGTGGTTTAAATATCCTATTCGCTAAGTCTAGTCCCTGACTTGATATTATGTCAAATATTATGACGGGGCATCTACCAGTGTCCCTCCATTAAGAGGGATTTTATACTGAATACGTACAAACTGTAAATCACTTATATTTCGAGTGACATTTATTTTCGCGATTAGGGTCAATTGCGAATTCAATTCCCTCGCCATTATTTGTATTCAAATACCTCTGGTATGTTGATTCGATAACTGCCATGGGAGTCTTGAAGAGCCCGTGTCTTTCATAAGTCATAATTCGCAAATTTAAAGTAATTTCTAGATCAGTGTTCGCGAGATTATATATTCACGAATATGTCTGATGAGACAAGTTCGCGAAATAAAGTACTCGCTGAATCTTATCGGTTATAGTCTCTTAGCGTTTTCATATTAAACTTTATGCGCTAAAACCTGATTGCGCTAACCGCAGTTACTACATGCTGATTAATCAGCAATTGACATCATGCGCTAACTTAGCGGCATGTTTAACTGTTATATTTGTACGTGGTTTTGAAATTGGTTATTACCACATCAGAGTTTCCTGGGGATAGATTATCAGGCTTGTAAAGATGGCTACCGCTGGATGTTCTTCTCTCTTATGGTTATCAATATGTTAAAAGAAAAACAGGATTTTCCATGATTTACATAACATTTGCATATTATTACTTACACTTTCCCAAGTCAGTTCAACCAATGGACGCACAAGTTGGAAAATATCTTCAAGCATCCTTCCTTTGATGAAGGGCATTATCGCTGTAAGACTTACACCTATGCTCTTGATCATCAGTTGTCGGTTAAACACGATATGGAATGGGAAAAGTTCAAAGAATACATCAGAACGCAAGGGAAGTGACTCTGTTATATGATCAATGTTCCGAAACATTTTTATGTATGCTGTGTTGTCAAATGACAGCCGCATGACCACGTGTACCAGATCGCCTATCTTAGATTCACTGGTGACATTGATAGTAATTTTAGTATTGTAGAACAGACGACCAACTTGTCGAATCTGGCCCTGTACATAATTCACAAATCCTTTTCGCCGACTTCTGTAGTGCAACGTAAGTCCAGACTGTGTTTCGTTTTCGACGAAAAAAGAAGGCGGTTTCAACTTTGGGTAACTAAAGCGGAGGTATTCGTGCAAATTATCCAGGCCACTTAAGAAATCTCGCATATTGCGACCCAACACTTTGAGTACCTTGTCATAACCGTATTGACCAACAAATCCCACGAAGCTAACGCCAAACGAATCCATGAGATCGGCCACGTCCTCCCCCGTCGTTTCGGCCGTTGCGGTAGCAATAGCTGATATTATGTTTTCGCTGTATATTCCGTGAGTTGCGAATGTCACATTTTGTAGATTTGCAGATTTACGTATCTGTTCCCACGTTTCCTCGCCATACTGATCAACAATGTAATCAACGATGGCCTCTAGAAGTAATCCGTACATTTTTACTAGGTGGAGTTGTAACCAGTCAAGGCTTTTGTTTTCAGTACCGTAAAATAGCAATTCTAAACACAGGTACGTCCTCCTGTAACACTGTCGGTACAACACACAGGGAATTTCCACAGATCAAACGGTAAACATCCATGTCTGTGTGTCTAAAACAGAAAACAAAAAACAATGATCACAAGAACTTTGTCAATGTGAATGATAACCTGTTTATATTTACATTTATTCAAAAACAATGTCTATCCTTATCATTACCGTGTTTTCTTTGTCAGGTCAAGAGTGCAAATGACGGAGTCTTGATGATGTCCTAACTTTATAGTTTCGCAAAATCACCGAACGTTTTCTACTCTGCTTGACAAAGGCAACGTACGTTTTCAAACGCTCGCAAAACTAGATTTCAATCGCTGTTTGTATGAAATATTTTATATAATACCAATGTGATTAATCTAATCAAGATTCTATAAATACATAATTACACAAGTAGGTAAAAGCCGATAATTTGATAAGAGACAACAAGCCGTTCTGATGTAGACATCCCTAGAGAGTTTACTTGTAGGATAGACAGAGAAAAAAAATGGCCGCACATCTCATGTGTACATTGTATGCCATATAGCTTGATACAGAAACTAGTGCATATATACTTTATGATAGATATAATGACATTTCATTGAAGTTTTCTGCTGGCACAGACAGAGAGAGAGTAGAGGGGAGGGAGACAGACAGACAGAAACAGAGATAGAGAGAGAGTAGACGGGGAGAGAGACAGACAGACAGAAACAGAGATAGAGAGGGAGAGTAGAGGGGGATGGAGACAGACAGACAGAAACAGAGAAAGAGAGAGAGTAGAGGGGGAGGGAGAAAGACAGACAGAAACAGAGATAGAGAGAGTAGAGGGGGAGGGAGACAGACAGACAGAAACAGAGATAGAGAGGGAGAGTAGAGGGGGATGGAGACAGACAGACAGAAACAGAGAAAGAGAGAGAGTAGAGGGGGAGGGAGAAAGACAGACAGAAACAGAGAAAGAGAGAGAGTAGAGGGGGGGAGAAAGACAGACAGAAACAGAGATAGAGAGAGTAGAGGGGGGGGAGAGAGACAGAAACAGAGGTAGAAAGAGCGTAGAGGGGGAGGGAGACAGACAGAGAGAGAGAGAGAGAGAGAGAGAGAGAGAGAGAGAGAGAGAGAGAGAGAGAGAGAGAGAGAGAGAGAGAGGGTTGTCGAGTTTTGCAGCGTTGCGATTTCAGCAATGTGGTATTGCTCAGTATTCCGTATATTCACATGAAACATCTATAGGGCCGAGGTATATAAATGAGTATAGTATGCAATTACTTATTTCATTTTGTGGTAATGTAGAAGTATTTTTAACATTGACAATGTTATCGGTCAAAATTCATGTTCCGTTTTACACGGTTTTTTAAAAAAGGAATAACTTCGGAATTAAAGTTATACAGATGCCAAGATGTGTATGACATCCTAGGGTAGAAAGAACAATAAAAGCCATTCAGGTGACGAAAAATCATTCCATGAGTAGCTTAAACTTCTAAACTAAAGCCACATTCGCCTTTAGGTGAAACTGTTTAGTTATGATCTCTGTCAGATGTTTAGTTATGGTCACTGTCAGATGTTTAGTTATGATCACTCTCAGGTGTTTAGTTATGATCACTGTCAGATGTTTAGTTATGATCACTGTCTGATGTTTAGTTATGATCACTGTCAGATGTTTAGTTATGATCAGTGTCAGATGTTTAGTTATGATCACTGTCAGGTGTTTAGTTATGATCACTGTCAGATGTTTAGTTATGATCACTGTCAGATGTTTAGTTATGACCACTGTCAGATGTTTAGTTATGATCACTGTCAGATGTTTAGTTATGATCACTGTCAGATGTTTAGTTATGATCACTGTCAGATGTTTAGTTATGATCACTGTCAGATGTTTAGTTATGATCACTGTCAGGTGTTTAGTTATGATCACTGTCAGATGTTTAGTTATGATCACTGTCAGATGTTTAGTTATGACGATCACTGTCAGATGTTTAGTTATGATCACTGTCAGATGTTTAGTTATGATCACTGTCAGATGTTTAGTTATGATCACTGTCAGATGTTTAGTTATGATCACTGTCAGATGTTTAGTTATGATCACTGTCAGATGTTTAGTTATGATCACTGTCAGATGTTTAGTTATGATCACTGTCAGATGTTTAGTTATGATCACTGTCAGATGTTTAGTTATGATCACTGTCAGGTGTTTAGTTATGATCACTGTCAGATGTTTAGTTATGATCACTGTCAGATGTTTAGTTATGATCACTGTCAGATGTTTAGTTATGATCACTGTCAGATGTTTAGTTATGATCACTGTCAGATGTTTAGTTATGATCACTGTCAGATGTTTAGTTATGATCACTGTTAGATGATCACTGTCAGATGTTTAGTTATGTTATGATCACTGTCTGTCAGATGTTTAGTTATGATCACTGTCACTGTCAGATGTTTAGTTATGATCACTGTCACTGTCATGTTTAGTTATGATCACTGTCAGATGTTTAGTTATGATCACTGTCAGATGTTTAGTTATGATCACTGTCAGATGTTTAGTTATGATCAGTGTCAGATGTTTAGTTATGATCACTGACTGGTGTTTAGTTGTAATTATCCCTGACAGATGTTTAGTTATGACGATCACTGTCAGATGTTTAGTTATGGTCACTGTCAGATGTTTAGTTATGATCACTGTCAGATGTTTAGTTATGATCACTGTCAGATGTTTAGTTATGATCACTGTCAGATGTTTAGTTATGATCACTGTCAGATGTTTAGTTATGATCACTGTCAGATGTTTAGTTATGATCACTGTCAGATGTTTAGTTATGATCACTGTCAGATGTTTAGTTATGATCACTGTCAGATGTTTAGTTATGATCAGTGTCAGATGTTTAGTTATGGTCACTGTCAGATGTTTAGTTATGATCACTGTCAGATGTTTAGTTATGATCACTGTCAGATGTTTAGTTATGATCACTGTCAGATGTTTAGTTATGATCACTGTCAGATGTTTAGTTATGATCACTGTCAGATGTTTAGTTATGATCACTGTCAGATGTTTAGTTATGATCACTGTCAGATGTTTAGTTATGATCACTGTCAGATGTTTAGTTATGATCACTGTCAGATGTTTAGTTATGGTCACTGACAGATGTTTAGTTATGATCACTGTCAGATGTTTAGTTATGGTCACTGTCAGATGTTTAGTTATGATCACTGTCAGATGTTTAGTTATGGTCACTGTCAGATGTTTAGTTATGATCACTGTCAGATGTTTAGTTATGGTCACTGTCAGATGTTTAGTTATGATCACTGTCAGATGTTTAGTTATGATCACTGTCAGATGTTTAGTTATGGTCACTGTCAGATGTTTAGTTATGATCAGTGTCAGATGTTTAGTTGTAATTATCCCTGACAGGTGTTTAGTTGTAATTATCCCTGACAGATGTTTAGTTGTAATTATCCCTGACAGGTGTTTAGTTTTAATTATCCCTGACAGATGTTTAGTTGTAATTATCCCTGACAGATGTTTAGTTGTAATTATCCCTGACAGATGTTTAGTTGTAATTATCCCTGACAGATGTTTAGTTGTAATTATCCCTGACAGGTGTTTAGTTGTAATTATCCCTGACAGATGTTTAGTTGTAATTATCCCTGACAGGTGTTTAGTTGTAATTATCCCTGACAGATGTTGTAATTATCCCTGACAGATGTTTAGTTGTAATTATCCCTGACAGATGTTTAGTTGTAATTATCCCTGACAGATGTTTAGTTGTAATTATCCCTGACTGGTGTTTAGTTGTAACTATCCCTGACAGAGTTGTACCAATCATCATTTTCTGATCTGTTTATAAGTGACTGAGAGTTGGATGAGGTGCAGATCACATGACAGTATAAAAACCCTGTTTCAAATATTAGCTGTTGTAGTAGACAAATGGTTTGTATCTATAACGATTCCTGTGATTAAGTATCGGTAACGGTACCATGGTCGATTGAACGAATCCTTATCACAACTATAAACTTTGAATTACGGAAGTATATATTCAAAATAGCTGAAAGCGGTGCCAATTAAAAACCAACGAAAGGTTAACATGTTGAAGTGATACAAGATGACGTGATTGTAGAGAATACTGATAATAAAGGATAAGAAAATATCACACATCGTGTGGAATTTTTCATCTGTAACACTATTTGATAAGTCGCATTACCTTGTCGACCTCCCGCACAGCATGATTTTAAATATGTGATAATTTCCCAAAAATAAACCAAGTTTATCTGCCGTGATATTATTATGTCTAGCTTACTTTATCATGTGTGAAAGAGAGAGAGAGAGAGGGGGGGGGACAGAGAGAGAGAGAGAGAGAGAGAGAGAGAGAGAGGGGAGAGAGATAGAGAGAGAGAGAGAGAGAGAGAGAGAGAGAGAGAGAGAGAGAGAGAGAGAGAGGGAGGGAGAGAGAGACAGACAGACAGACAGACAGACATAGACAGCCTGATGGATAGGCAGACAGACAGACATACACAGCCGGACATACTGACGGACAGACAAACAGACACCCTGACAGGCTGACAGACAGACAGATAGACAGAGGTCCACAGACCTTTCGACCGACCGACCGACCGTGACAGTTTCACTTCAACAAGAGAACGCTTCTAATGTGCATCCATGAGCATACATTTTAACACACGTAAGTACACGATGGATATAAAATTAGGTTACATACCTATTTACTTGTATCTGGCCTCTCGTGATCGCTAGTACACTAGGAATGGAAACATCTTACTGCTTCCGATCTGTATGAACTAATTTGGCACACTTCTGGCCTGGGAATGTTTAAAACCAAACAGTACTAGCCAATACCATAAGACCAGCTACTGAGCACGTGCTGCTGAACTATGCTACTGATTTCAGAGATACAAAATAGAAGTAATTTGTATAGAAATATGATTGATGT